TCTGCCTGTTTAGGTGTTCAGAGACATGACCGTTGGCGAAGGCGAGATGATGTGTGTGTGGATCTGGTGGCGAGCGATAAGAGCAACACCTTCTAGGGCGTCATCTTCCCGGGATTCATCCGCTACGAGGCCCTCAGGAAGGTTTATGACAACCAGGTGGTCCCTAATATTAGCAATTCAGAAAAATCTACAGTTGGACTTTCTGATTATAAATATTAGTGGCGGACATAGATTTTTTTTAATCTAGATTAATCTCACCGTAATCTTGGAATTATTCTAGATTAAAATGGCTACATTGAGTTCTGCCAAATCAAAGAATCAGAATTAATTTTTTGATACCTTGAAGGAAATTCTTTTCCAGCAGAGCAACCGTTTACAGCAGAGGAAAAAATAAGATTGTAAGAACAAATAATATATAAGAATAAAATAAGATAAGGATATAAATAACATAAGAAATGGGTAAGAATAAAATAAGATAAGGATGTGTGTGCTGCCTAAATAATAAGTAAAATAAAGTCTTTGAACAGGCTCCTTACGCCAGGTGGCACTTAAGACCAGGGGCTCATCTCCTGTTACCAAAATGAATCACAAACTGCTTGAGAAAGTTTTTCTACTATGATAACTGGTGATGAAAATAAATAATATTCAATTAGATGCATTTATGTCTAATAAGTGTTTATTCAGATAAACGTGAATTCTACAGTCAGTAGCTTTGTGTCGGTTTGTTTGGTTACAGTCATTAGTATGGACTAGAGGTGGGCGACCGGGAATTTTTATTCAATACGATACCAAGTAAGTACAGGGTCAATATCGCAGATATCGATACTTTTTAACATTTAAAGTTCAAATAGAAAACACAAACTTATAGTTTGTAATTTGATAGTATGTACAAAATTAAATACATCACACTTGAAAAAATTTCCATAATTTTGTTGTTTATAGCATAAAGTAATACAATAAGGTAACAGTTCACTGTTTTCAAGGCTGCGCTTTAAAAAAATGAAATTGTCTGAAGAGCTGTTCTTAACAAAGTTTCTTTCTGTTTACACTTGTGTATACAAAATGACAAGATAAATCTGTCTAAGTTTAAAGCTGGCAACCCAAAGATTCTCATTTGGTCACATGACCCACTGACGTCAGTGGGTCAGTTTATTCAGGAAGTAAACGTTTTATATAGCGTGTCAATATTTTTTCACCTTTGTGATGGAATTATTATCCTTTAACAAGGATATCTACGGACCAATCAGAGTCTTAATGTTTTTATTAATGCTTACTGGTTTAATCACCACTGCTAAATGTTCTTTGATGTTATGCAGAGCCGGTGGAAGTGCATTATCTTTAATAACATTTTCCAGATGCTGCTGTGTTGTAATTAGTTTAAACCAGAGTCTAACCTTTGTTTGAAGAGGGGATCATGTGATTTGAATTGGTTATGTGGTGGCTGCTTTCGGTTCGGTTGGCAACATGCTGCTGCAGCAGGGCGTGAAGGCTGGCGGTCAGTGTTGGAGCCCTGTGTGCTGTGCTGGCCAGTGTTAATTTCATCAACCAGGACGATCACGAAAATATTTCGTCAACACCCCTTTTACCCGTGAAGATCACGAGTTAAAGATGCACAAAAATTGTTTCCATAAAAGAAAAACATGACAAGAATAAAAAATTATTTTCTTTAACGAGACTTAGACCAGACGAAATTTACAAGCCATGGACGAATGGACATTAAGAACTGTATTTGTTTATAATTGATTTGTAATTTTTAATTGTTAATTTAAGTGTTTCTTGAACTTCATAGATGATTACGCGTTGTTTCCCTATTTGTCCCTACATGGGGTATGTCCCACAGTGCCTTGCAGTAGTAGCAGAGGGCTTATACGCCTAGAATCACTGGTAGTATTTAACCGTAGCTAGCTCAACTTCGCAGACATGGTGTCGGGCTTGGATACCAGTGTGCAGTTTGTTGGAGGAACTGGGCGAAAAACAATAGTGTATGGAGCCATTTCGTTTACAACGGGAAGGACAACAAAACAACCGGCATGATAATTATTGATCATGCCGCCGATGCTGGTGGTGGCCAAGACTACAATGACTAAAATGAGGCTAAGACTAAAATAGATTTTCGTCATTGTGACTAATACTAAATTTTAAAAAGCTGACAAAATTAACACTAGTGCTGGCGGTTCTGCATAGCAGGCTGTGCCTGGAAAGGGAAGGTGGTTCCTCAGTAACTCGATCGCAGCGAGCGGTCCAGAACCGGGTCCTTTCTGCTGTTTTGGTGGGAAACATGTTGGGATCTGGAGATTCTCCACCTTCTCCAGCAGAGTGCGCTGTGGATCTCCTGGGCTGGAGCCCTCCAGCACAGCTGACGTTCATCAGCCCATCAGGAGACCGGCCTTTATAAGCAGCTGCCAGACCTTCCTTCAATGCCGCAGTGTTGACCAAGTTTGGTTAGCGAACCTGAGCCTCTGTTTTCTACTAGAACCTTTGCTTCAAAGAGAAACCCAATTCTAACCTGCCCCTGTGTTCTCGCTCCTAGGAAACCAGTCTCTCGTGTGAAGCTCTGGATGAGCTTAGCCTGTTACCTGCCTGCCTGCCCTAGAGAGCCAAACCTGAAGATCTCACTCTGGAATCCACCTGCTGCTCTCAGAGAAAGAGCTAAACACTCAAACCAAGGTCAGTCACTAAGAAGTCAGAAGCTAGACGCTGCTGCTGCTGAGCACTCTGCTGAACCAACAGTCTCTGGACCCAACCGGTTCCCTCTCTCAAATAAGAAAGCCTGGACCTCTTCAAGGTATTCTCAAAAACATCTAAACTCAGCAATTCATCTGTTAACCTGGCTAATCAAACTGTCCGTCTCTGCAGATGCCAGAGAATCCTGCCCGGACCAGTACCTGAATCCAGTTCGTGTCATTATTGTGAAACCTTTAAATAAACTCTGTTGAACTTTTACCCAGTCTCCAGTGGTATTCTGCATGTGGGTTTATTTCCTAAACCAACCATGACAGAACACTGCGGCCAAACACAAAGCCCAGCAGATCACCTCCGGAGGAGGCTTGAGGAGCAGGACGCTCAAATCCTTGGTCATGCGCACACCCTCCGTGAGTTACACAATAAACTTGAATATCAGAACCAAGTCTTGCAGAACTTTGCTGGCTACATGGGAAATGCTAATGCTACGCCTGCAGTCCGTCCTGTTCCGGAACCACTTCCGCCACTAAGGTCACCGTCCGTGACGTCATTTCCTGAGTTCCGTCCGAGTCCTCCTGAAAGATTTTCAGGTAATCAAAAGGAGTGTAAAGGATTTTTGTTTCAGTGTCGTTTGCTTTTTGAGCACTCACCTGGCAGTTTTCCAAATGATAGAAAAAAGATTTCCTTCATTCTCTCTCAGCTTACTGGACGAGCCCTTGAATGGGCGGAGGCAAGGTTCTCTTCTGAGTCCAGCTTTTCATGTACTTTTTCAGAATTCATATCTGAGTTTTCTCAAGTTTTCAACCATGACTCTGATAAAACTATTGATTCCCGAGCCCTGCTAAATTTAAAACAGGGAAATTCGACAGTAGCTGTGTTTTCCATTGACTTCCGGGTTAAAGCCGCAGCCTCAGGTTGGAACGAATGTGCACTTAAGAGTGCTTACTTTAAGGCCCTGAATGACAACATTAAAGATGAACTCGCCACATTAGACGAACCTGCTAGTTTGGAGGATTTAATCCGTTTGACCATCAGGTTGGATAACAGACTTCGGACTAGAGATCACTCAAGGCAAAGAAACCTGAATTTTTCTGTTTCATCTCCTGCATTTAATAATACTTCTGTTTTTTCTGGTTCCCCAGAATCCAGTACCAAGCCAAGGTTTAAGAATCAGACTCTCCCAGCGCCTGTCCAAATCTCTCATTTTTCTTCTTCAGAAGGAGCGGAGGCCGAACCCATGCAAATTGGACACACCAGGCTATCCCCTGAAGAGAGGCAACGAAGATTCAAAGCTAAACTGTGTCTGTATTGTGGTGAGACTGGCCATTTTATTGCCTCTTGCTCGGCTAAATCAAAAGCCAGGGCCCGTCAGAGGATGTGAGGAGTCTGACGGGCCACCTAAGATCTGAAAAAACTCCTCATTTGTTGTTGCCCGCTACTCTGTTCTTTGCTAACCAGAATCTCACCTTGTCAGCATTCATCGACTCTGGCTGTGAAAGAAACCTTATTGATTCAGAACTGGTCCAGCAGTTAAAGATTGAAACTCTTCCTTTAACTAAACCTCTTAGAGTTTCTGCTATCGATGGAAAGAAGCTTCATCAAGTCACTCATCAGACACAACCCTTGGAACTGGTTATCTCTGGAAACCACCAGGAGATGCCAACATTTTTTGTTGCGGTACTTGAACGGGTCGTAGTGGAGAATAATCCCTTTCTCAGTGAGAATCTCAAACAATCTCTTGGGGAGAGTGGATCCAAACCTCATGTTTGAACCCCAGCTCAGTTTGAAGCTCAGTTGTTCCTTCCAGGGAGTGAAGGTCAGAGAAATCCAGTTTGCAGGATGACTTCCTGCCGAGAGGCAAAGACAAAAACAAAGTTAAACTCAGGTTGACAAAAACTCAGTTTGACTCAGCAAAAACTCAGCTTGGCTAGAGTACCCAAAACTGGCAAACACTCTGGCGTCGAGGTAGTGGCAGTCAGCAGCTTAAAAACACTCCGTTTAACGAGGAAACCATCAGCAGGTGTGTGAGGAGGCGGACCAGAACCAGGCGCCTCCTGGTGGATGAAGGGAGACAAACACAGAAACACAAACACAAAGGCAGGAGTCCTGACAGTAGTGGGCACAAGCGCACTGCTTTAACCACTAACAACACTCCCCGCATATATGGTAATCATACGTGGAGGAAGGATGTAGAAATGTTGGAATGTGTAGCAAAATCATGTGCAAAGCTAAAGGCAGTATAAGTATGAAGGAGGACAGAGACTAGTTAGTCAGTGATCAGTGAAAAGGAGGACAGGGACTAGTTAGTTGGCAATCAGTGATAGGGTTGGGAATTGAAAAGATTTTCACGATTCCGATTCCCTTTTCGATTCTATGAAACGATTCGATTCTTTATCGATTCTTTTTTCGATTCCAATTTGGGGAAAAAAGGAGAACAAACAGTTTGATTATCAGCATCAACTTTGTTTACTTAACTATTGCACAATCTTACAAACTCAACAAGTTCAAGATGTCAACAGGAAATGTGAAACTGGAGTAACATCTGTGTTTAAATGAAAAATGAATACAAGAACAAACTTAATAACCAACAATGTCTAATAACAAATGATGGGATAATAACCTATTTTAAATAACAAAAAATACTAATTATAAAACAGTAGTAGGGAAAATTAACAGTTCTTTTGCAGAAAGATGAGCATATCTGCTTTTTCTGGAAGGATACGGGATCTTTCAGGGCTTATGGTGTCTCCAGCCGTGGAGAACACCCTCTCAGATGGGGTGGAGGAAGCCTGCACACAGAGGTAGTTTTCAGCCAGTCCAGATAGCAAGGGCAGCGTATCTTGCTTGTTCCACCACCACAGTGTGGCGCTATCCCTGCAGGGGATGGAGGGCAAGCTTTTATAGAGCTGGATTACCTGATCTACCCTCTGGGCTAAGGAAAGACGGGGCTTTGATTCACAAAGTGACCGCAGCTCGTTGTCTTCCTCCTCGAATAGTTCTTCCAACTTGCGTAACTTGCGTAACTTACGTAACTTACATAAAAAACGTGACGTAAGTCGTGCTCCCCAGAGCTAGCGCTCTAGGCTCTGGTGCTGCGGGAATCGAAAAAAGAATCGTTCAGCGAGCTGCCAAACGATGCCATGGAATCGGAAAATACGAAACCGGTTCTGAACAGGAACCGGTTTTCGATTCCCATCCCTAATCAGTGAACAGGAGGACAGGGACTAGTTAGTTGGCAATCAGTGAACACTGTATCTTAAATACTGACCCATAGGATCATTCTTACTGTTCATCTTACATGTTCTTCTTTAACTTGTTTCATTTTGTCTCTCAGACTTAGATCCTGTGACCTCTCAGAGAGAACTTGTGAAGTTCTGTCATCAGTTCTGAGGTGCAAGTCCTGCTCTCTGAGAGAGGTTGACCTACAGAACAACAACCTCCAAGATTCAGGGGAGAAGTTTCTGCCTGATCCAGACTGGACATTGGTAATATTCAGGTGAGGATTCATCAAACTGTTTCTTCTGGATTCTAACGCAGTGTTGTTTTTGACAGCCATCTTAGATTTAGTTTTAGTTTTCATCTTTAGAACTAAAACCATTATTAGTTTTAGTCACATTTTAGTCATTATGCTTTGTGATAGTTTTAGTTTAGTTTAGTCAGTTTGCTGTTGCAATTCATGAAACACTTAATCTTTACAATTTCCAATAACAACCAGATTCCTTACCAGACTGACATCTCTAAGCCTAGATACTACCATTGCTGGAGGTACCATGCTCCCATGTAGTTCGTCATCGCTGTTTGGTGGAAATCTTTAATTTCAAAATAACTTTTGTATAAAATGATGCCTTACAAAAGCTGTGAAAATGGCAAAATCTAGTTCAACACACTGGTTAAAATACCAGAAATAGAAGCTAACAAAATTTACAATAGTTAGAAATAGTTGTCGACATATAAGATTTCCATCTCAAAGCAAATACTTCTTGATCTACTACAAATTATGTCTTACACACAGATCAATCAATATTCATTACTCCAAGAGAGATTCTTACTTTGGAAATTGTGGCTTTATTTCCAAGAATATTCCTCCTTGATTAGCGCTGCTCAGGGGGTAAAATAGATATAAAATATTGCCAGTACTATATAAAGAAGTTTGTCTATACATGAATTTAAATTTTTTTTGTTTTTGTTTTTTTCAGATTTAACCCATTATAACCTATATCCACACAAACACACACACACCATCTACACGTTTGTATTTCTATCCATATTAAGAATTTACATTGACTTATGTTGTGTTTTAATGGGCCAAGCAATCAGGGACGCCAAATAAATGTTGTAATTTTATGGTCTTTTCTATTCCCAGCCAGCTGGGAATTTATATTTATGTGTTGCAAAATGTCTGTTTTGCAGCAGTTTGGTTCTGAAAGGTTCTGATTTATCCTTGATGTTTCTGGAGATCTGGTTCCCCTGGGGCCCGCATCTCAACTGTTGTGGAGAACCAGCCGAGGCGGACCCCAGCTTTGAGCGCAGGGGCAGAAGAGATCAGGAACAGAATAGGCAAAAAAGGCAAAAGAGAGGGAGAATCCTGTGTGCTCTGTGGTTTTGTTGTCCTCACAGAGAGGGGGGTAGGTTTTTACACCTCTGGTGGCTTCCATGTGACTTGCCTGTGGAGGCCTTGCCTGAAACGGGGGTTGTTGCAGGGATTCCACAGCTGATTCCACATATTCATGTCAAGAAGAAATATGGACACTGGTTCCCAATGTCTAAAAAGTATGATCATGGCATATGGCACAACACTTACATTAATTTTAGTTATTGCTTTTATGCCTAACCCTGACATTTATCCCAATCCTTACTATTACTTCTATATGCCTCACCCTAAAAAACAGTGCTCTAATGCTGAACAATGTTCTCTGTTTCCCAGATTCAAATGTTTAAATCCTAAGCTAATGATGTTCTGGCAGGTTCTTGTGGTTTCTAAGCTGGAACAGACAGCAGTTAGTTCTTGATCTGTTTCATTGTCTTATTTAGAATCACTGTTGCCAAGATCAAACACTGTCCTGTTTCCTCTGACCCAACTGTACTTTAATGGAATGTCACTTTAAGTTAACTTTGCAAATCAAATACTTTAGGTCTAACTACCTCCAGATCATTCACTCTTTTGGACATTCCAGAACATATAATCACCAATTTCTGAAAAGATTGTAGACTCCAGATGGACTCCAGATATACACCTCATTTTAAAGAACAAATCAGGAGGACACAAAAATTGACAGAGCAAAGATTGGAAAACCTGCTGGACTCAGAACCAGTGAACTAACACACCATCATCCAGTTCCCAGTGGGTTCTCATGCGGGTTCCCCAGTTTCTGGATATCAAACTGGATAATCTGTCTCCAGCAGAACATCAGCGATCTGAAGTTTGTCTGCTTGCCTGAGACATGGAGAACCTCAGTGGTTCTGGACCTCACCATGATCCAGTCGAATTCTTTTCCACTGCACTGGGTGGAAAGAAACAACAAAGACAGGAACATCAGCTGGCGGTATAGTGAGTGCACTATTGTTTTCGTCAACAATGATGTAATTATTTCGTTGACCCTCCTTTTTTATGACGATAATGAACACTGACGAGCTAAACATGTATCTTTGATGACAAAAACATTATGGGTGGGAGTTGATGTACGTATATTAGACTAAACAAAAAAATGTAGCTGTTGGTTGGTCAGACATTTAAAATGCATCATTGTGCTGTAAACTGCTAAGCAGTAAAAGCCGTTCTGTAGCGTCCTGTTTGGTCACGCCCACCACCTGGCATGCAGCGGTGCACATTCTGCAGGACTACAGATGGACCATGGCAGCCGCTGTGGGGGTAAAAGTAGGCTGGAATAGTCCGGTACTAAGCTCTCAACTCTGACAAACTCTGCCCTTCCAGTTGTGCTTGTGCAGACATCTGCCATTGCACAGGTCTGGCTTCGAGTCTGCGCTTTATGCTCCACAATGATGGTTCGCTCTCAGCAGCATGTCTCTTTCTGCCCTTGCTAGTTAATGAACTATGTGTGGCTTATCAGTGTCTGCCAAGCATAAAAAAACCTTTGTCTGTCAAGATTTTAATTCTTCCAGCTCACAAGAGTTTATAGTAAACATCCTTTAATTTATACCAAAAGGAAGCCCTAAATTATATCCAAAGAAAATATATAATTTCATACTGTTTGTTTTTGGATAAAGACCCAGATGCTTTTTTGGAGTAATGAAGATTGATTGATCTGTGTGCAATGCATAATTCATAGTAAGTCAGAAGGTGTTTTGGATGGAAAACTTGTACACCTGCCATTCCTTTATTGTAAATTGTGTTAGCTGTCCTGTCTGCTGTATTAACCAGTATGATGTGTTGACCTAGATCTGCTATTTTCACAACTTTTGTGAGACACGTTTTATAAAGTAGAGCATTAATTAAGAAAATTTTTTTGAATTCTATTTACATCAAAGTTTTCTGCCCAACAGCATTGATGAACTGCACAGCATTCTATCGCCAGCAATTGTGGTATCAATGCAAGAGCTGTCAGTATGGTAAAGAATCTGGTTGTTATTCGAAATTGTAAAGGTTAACTGTTTTTTGAAGTGCAACAAAAAACTGACTAAAACTACACTAAAACATTTTTTAAGTTTTAGTCGACTAAAACCAACTAAAACTACAACATATAGTGATGACTAAAATGTGACTAAAACGAACACTAGTTTTTGCCCTGGAGAAAAAAAAGCTTAGAATAAATCTAAGATGGCTGTCAAAAACAACAGTGTCATATCTAATAACAGATGGTTTGAGGACTTTCCCCTTCTGATTCAGCACATCTGGAGCATCTGTCCATCAGTTTACTTGCTCTGACCGTCCTTCTTGGTCAGAACATTTTCATCCGTAGCTAACACAGCTATTTATATTCGGACTCAGGCAGATAAAGAACATTGACCTGGATTTTGCTCCTATCATAGCAGAGGACTTTAAGTCTCAGACAGGTCACGACTCTTTGATGAAGGTCTGTGACAGATGCAGCTGCTGCAGCTCATCTTGTCTAGTACGGTAACTAGAGCAGATAGATGCTGACAAACATGTTTGATTGGCTCTCCCCTCATCAATCAGCTACAGTCACAGTGATGATGGACTAAATAAACCTTAATGATGTGAGAGCTCTTAAAACTGGAGATGAAGAACCAGACTGGCTGGTGTCCGTCTCCTCCCTGATTAAAAAAGATAAAATGAAAATAATTAGTTAAAAATGGGCTGTAACATGACAACTACAGGACAGGACTTCAGAGACACTTTAATTAAATAGACGGCTCCAAATTTTGGACAGTTGGATTCTGAGTGAAGAAGAACAGAACCATTAAATGTCTGCTGTGGCAGAACCTTCAGTACTGGGACAGGGAAAGCCAGCTTGATTGATTTGGACTCTTTAATGTCCAAAGTATGAAGAGAATTTGGTCCAGAGGCCTGACTGACTGCAGCTTGGCTAACAATCATGAGCCAATGTTCCTCAGTCATCAGCTAGCTTTATGCAGCATAGTTCATTGTTAGCAGCTATCAGACACTACAGGCTGCATTGTGTTGTGTGCTTAGTCAGCTTATTCTGCTCTGTTTGTTTGCTTTCTCCCACAATGGACCAGACCACATATGCAGCAGGTCACAAGGTCCAAATGACCCAGGTCCAGCTCTTCTTCTACTTCCAGCAGCATGTCAGAGTGGAATCTGATCTGATCTATTACAATGCCCATGTTTTCCTGCTGAAAGTTACTGATGTTCTGACCCCCCTCCTTTCAGGGAGCCTGATGGAGTCCGATGGTTGAAACCAGCACTGAGGAAGTGTAAGTGTGTTTTTCATTGCATTCCTGACAGCAAAGCAACTCACTTTCAACCATCTTCAAACTGTCCATCACTCAGTAATGAGTCATCATCAAAGATTTTATAATCAATAATTGCAGCCGGATTGTGTTTTTTCTCTCCATCAGATTCCTGTCAGCTCACTATCGACACAAACACAGTGAACAAAAATCTGAAGCTGTCTGAAGATAACAGGAAGGTGACAAAGGTGAAGGAGCTTCAGTCGTACCCTGATCATCCAGACAGATTTTATGGCTGGCCTGAGCTGCTGTGTAGTGATGGTCTTATTGGTCGCTGTTACTGGGAGGTCGAGTGGAGAGGACCGGTTTATATATCAGTGAGTTACAGAAGAATCATGAGGAAAGGAGACAGTGGAGACTGTTGGTTTGGATGGAATGATCATTCCTGGACTCTAAACTGCTCTGATCATGGTTACTCTGTCCGGCACAATAAGGAGCATCAATCAATCTCCTCCTCCTCTGTCTCTAACAGAGTAGCAGTGCATGTGGACTGTCCTGCTGGCATTCTGTCCTTCTATAGAGTCTCCTCTGACTCACTGATCCACCTCTTCACCTTCAACACCACATTCACTGAACCTCTTTATCCTGGATTCTTTCTCTTTCCTGATTCCTCAGTGTTTCTGTGTTGAGTCTCCTCCTGTCGGGGAAACCCTCTCACTGTTGAACAGATATTTTGGTCTTTACATGTCTGTCTTTTTTTTAACATTCAGTCGGTTTCTTTCTGAAACTCCTGGAAAAGATTCCTTGTAAACGTTGTCCTCTTCCAATCCTTTAAAGATGGAAGCTGGGATTATTCTATATGTTTGGTTCTTTTTCTAGTCAAAGCTTCATTTAGGGTTTACTGCCAATGTGTTTTCGCTGCTATACCAAGGCTGATGCTCGAGCTGGTTGTGTTTTGGTTCTTAATGTCTCTGTAGCAATAGCTTTATCCTGGCTCTGAAGCTCACCATCAGAGGAAATGTTTACATTTCTATCTCCATTCTTGTCATGTCAGCCAGTCTCACCCCAGGCTCACACCGACTCCGGTCTTACCGTTGCGGTGCGGTGGGTGCGGCGCCGCAGTGATTCCAAGTCATTAAAAAGACGTAAACCTCTCTCACCTGCTGCTGAGCTGTCCGGCTGCGGTTACCGAGACACTCCGGCGCTGCAGAAAATTCCGCAAGAAAGCTATCCTTGCGGCATCCCGGAGCCCTCCGCAACAAGCTCTCGCAAAAATCCTTTATTTGGGCCGTGTTATCGCGTGAAGTTACGTGAACTCAAGTGAACTTCTGTTAAATCTCCGGACCTGTTGCCGGCGCCGCAGAGCCGCACCGCACCGTAGTCAAAAGGGCGGTGTGAGAGGGGGTGTGCGGGAGTTGCGGTCTCCGTCGGCTCGGTAACTGCACACAGCCAGTGTGAGCAAGGGGTTAGTCAGGCTTTTTTTGTTTTTGTCTCTCATGTAGATTTTCTATTTTGGGGTCCGATTAATGAAGCAGGTTTACTGAAAACTCTAAGTTTTCTAAACCTGAAATCAGGGAAACTAAGTTCTCCGTTAAACAAAGAGTTTCTTTAACCTCTGTTTCTGTTACCAGAAACACAGTCAGTTCGAAGTCCTATGGTTTCAAACTTATTTATTATTTACCTACTTTATAGTTTATCTACATTATTTACTATGTACCTATTGAAACACAATGGCATTTTAATGCATCAAATGCATTATATGTTTGAGTCATACAAATTGTGATTAATGTGATTAAAAACAAAGAGGTTGAGCTTTTAGCTAAACAGGCACTAAAATCTAAAAAATTGTATCTTGAAAATCCTTCAGTAAAGGTTGAATGTAAAATAATCATCAAAAACTATGTTAGGAAAAAATGGCAGGAAAACTGGGACATAAGTGATAAAGAGGGAAACTGATATAATATTCAGAAAAATGTGCAAGAAAAAAGGAAAGCAGGAAGAAAAGGGAAAATAAAAGGTTTTGGTCAAAAAGGTTTGAATAGTTAACTTAAAATAACTGATTAACATGCAGCAGATTTGTGTGAATGTAGCAACATGCCTGAAACTGGATAGCATATTTTTATGGCGTATATTGCTTATAAAACTCAAGGGAGACAGTTTAGAGAAACAATGGATCAAATGAAAATGTACTATTGAAAATATTTTCGATGTAGATCAAATCCTCTTGTATTTAAAAAATACTAAATTATTGGAGAGAAAACTCTTTGTTTTGTTTTTGCTGTAAATCTCCTGTCGACACTCTAATCCAGTACCTGGTGCTAATGCAAAACCAGCCCCTAAACACTAATCTTCCATTTGCGTGTTCCCGCAGTGTGTCCACCACATTAAGTGTTCAGCCCTTAAATAGTTTCTGCATCAGTACGGACTTGCTGGGATTTAGGACTGGATGTTACAGCGAACTAAGGCAGAGGAAACACAAACATTCAAATGTAACTCCGAAAGGGAAGGTCCTTTTTGAAATATTTTTTCATTCTACCGTAGTAATATATCTTTAAGAAAGGTGCAAATGTCAGATATATTGTCAACCTGCGCCAGAGATCTACTGCCATGCATATGGCGCGTAAAATTCAGAACCTCAGGATTCCAAGCTCTTTGCCCTAACCACTAGGCTGCCACTCCCCTCATCGGCTTATTTGCGCATTTTCTAGCAGATATCCATCCAGGTCGCCATAGTACTGAAAGTACTTAATTCTATCCTAAAATTGCTATAGAATGCTGAAGTATAACCTTTAGAAATACTCAATGACATTTCTAAGACAATTGGAGTTTTTTACATTCTCTCTGTTAATTTGCTTTTCTGACATCACCGGTCATTCTCAGAGCAGTCCAGCTAAATATGAATAGTGTCATAAAACAGGAAAGAAGGACACAGTATTCAAGGTGAGACAGACGGTGGGATAACTGAGTTTGTTTTTTTTTTTTATGGAGCAGGCTGTGGATCCGCGGTATCAGCGGCTAGGGCGTCTATAACAAACTCTGTTAGACAGACAGGTTAGTGACCATGACAAACCAACATGATTATCCATGTGAGTCACTAACCTGGTTTAACAGTTCAGTCCATCATCAGAGAAAGAGGCTGTATTCAGCTGGTGGGCTGCCAATGAGATGCGATGGATGCCACCCAGAGTGTCCCAGATACAGCAGCCATGGAGAACATGCAAGAGTCCGATCCTGGTCAGGGAAACAGATCAGAACAGGAAGGCTCAGAGGTCCAGGAGTCCAAAGCCCGGTCAGAAATACCAATCAGAATAGGAACAGGCGGGTCCAGGGTTCTAGGGGTCCTCAGACCTATTAAGTAGAATGTTCAGATGGGAACAGACATGCTCAGTGGGTGAGAGGCAGATTAGGATCAGAAAATCAGAAACACTACGAAACGTTCAAAACCACTCTCTCAACTGAGATCATACGGAAGAGACACACTCAGTGGATGAGAGGCAGATCAGGAAATTAGAAACACTATGGAATGCTAAAAACCCTCTCCCCACTGGCCCCTGGATTCAAGGACCTTAAATAGAGGCAGGAGCAGGTGGATAAGATAAGCAGTGATTGGAAACCAGGCAGAGTTAAACAGATTAATGGAATGAATAATCAAGACAGTCATCAGTTGAAAAACCATGACAGATAGGCCGTGTTTATCTGCATTTTAGTTGTTTCTTTCTTTAGATTATACACTATATAACATAATTTTAACACGAAAGGAAAAAAATAAAACTTAAAAAGGTTAGATTTATGTATAAATCCAAAGCCGAAAAAGTTAGCTCCCAGAAGTAGTGCAGGATCCCATTTCCGGGACTGATCGGGCAGAGACAAGTGATAAACCAGAAAGGATTGAAAGGCATTTATTTTCTCATTACAGAAATAATTAATCATTTAGATACTTTTGCTTAGTACGCTTATTATTTTCAGGGATACGGATTGTGCTACCAAAATGGATCGGGTAGTGACTGTGACAACACTCTGTAGACAACAGTAGCTAGCAGCAGTGATCGCAAAATTTGTCTTTTTGAAGCATTAAATCATTTTGAACCATTGTGTCATAAAATGTTTCACTACCTGAAGTTTCATTCTATTTCCTTTGGTGGCATCTGCTGGCTGCCGCGATTGTTGCAAATTACAACATGTGAAAGTCATACATCTCCTATGTACTGTATATAATAACAGTTATGTGTTTTACATATGTTTAAGTATCTCTTTAAAGAATCTGAGTAAGTTAAACATTGAAACTATAAATTACTAACACTGTAAACATTTTTGGTTTCTTAATAATATTTTGGTGCTTGGTGTACTGAGTCTTTTTTGACATTGTGCTTTTTGTAATAAAAAGGATGATTGTGTTACTTCAGGTCTTTGTAATTTTGTTTTTATTTAAGAAAAGTAGTTTTTGCACAATACAAGGGCTCAAAGTTGTTGTTGTTGTTGTTGATGTTTGTGTCTTTTAGCTAATTTATCCAGCTTAGAAAAATACTCTTTCACAAGGAACAGAGGAGGCTGCTGTGATAAGGTACTGTTTGACTGGGTGGAATAGATTTAGATAGTTTTGTGCTCTGCCCAATATTTCAGTGGATCCTTTACTCAGTCTTGAGATGGAGCTGATAGGTATCGCTCCAGCTCCACTATTGCATCTGCAAAACCATGATGACAACCTGTTTTTACTTTATTCATCTATCTATAATCTATTTAGTGTCAGCAAGAACTGCACCTATCGCATAACATGATACCATAAATATTATAATACTGGACAGTGTTAAGCTGTCTGTTTAGTCTTGCTTTTTATTTTTACTTTATTGCTATAACTACAAATTAACAGGCAATTAGCATCACATAGAAAAACAGAGGAAAACAAACAAACAAAAAAACATGGATCTAATCTGTCACACAAGAGTGTAAAAGGTAAGAGCACATATCTCTGTAGTTCTGTACTCTAAAAAAAAAGGGATATTTTAGATTTTAAAAAGACAAAATAATGATAATAATTCAACTTTATTGATGTCACATTGGAGAAATTTACCTCTGCATTTAACCCATTCCCTTGGGGAGCAATGGGCTGCCATTGTGCAGTACCCAGGGAGCAATCGAGAGTTAACAGGGATTCAAAAAAATCTAAACATTTAGCATAAATCTTAGCTAAATTATCAGAACTTACAAAGATTTATGTCACTACCTACCAATGAGACAGGTGTGTTTTTGGCGGCTGCTTGATTCTTACCAAATCTACAGAGGTCAGATATAAAGGATTCAGTCCTTCAGCAAGCTGGTTCCAGATAAGCCATATTTTATCCTGCACATATTTCTGACAGCTGAGAACATCATGTCAATTGTGCCACTTTTGCGGGATATAGTGCAAGTGTAATTGCATATGGTTTATGAAAAATGTGAATGTGCTGTCATTTGCTCTTCACAAGAAACCCGTTTAAAGTCAGATAAATTTGAAATATGGAAAATGAAATGAGGACTGAATACATGTTTCCTGGGATTAACACACACTCAATCCAAATAATTTTATGCACCCGATACTGTTGGGATCTGGAGATCTGCCACCTGTCTCCAGCAGAGAGCGCTGTGGGTCTCCTGGGCTGGGAGCCTCCTGCACACCTGAGGATCATCAGCCCATCAAGAGACCTCCTACATAAGCAGCAGTCAGACCTGGCTTCGGCGCCGGAGTGTTGACCAGTTTTGGTTAGCGGAACCTGAGCCTCAGTTAACTTTGAGAATCTCTGTCTGCTCTAGAGAGTAGCCTGATTCTAACCAGCCTCTGTCTTCTCTGCTCACAGGAAAGCCCGACTGAAGTCTCTAGCTCTGGAGGAGCTTGTGCTTGGAAGCCTGCCTGCCTGCCCAAGGAAGCCAAACCTGAAGACTATCAGTCTGAATTCCCCAGCTAGTTCTCAAGGGAGGACTAGGAAATCAACTCAAGGTCTGAACCTCATTAGCCTGAAGCTAGACGCTGCTGCTGCTGAGCTCTCTGCTGAAACCACCGTTCCCTCTCTCCATCGATCAATCTGAACCTCATCAAGGTACAAACCAGAATCAAACCCCTGACAAGTCATCACCGCTGCCTGGCAAACCAAACTATTCATCTCTGCAGATTACTCTGTGATTCCAGTCCGGGACCAGTACCAGAACCTGCTCATTCATACTCTTGTGTGTTTCTCCCAAATAAACTGTTAAACTTTTACCCCGTTTCCTGTGGTGTTCTGCATGTGGGTTTAAACTCAGAGACCCATCATGACAGATACTCCATTTGGAATGGAGGTATGCTCCATTCCTTAGAATGAAGTAGGTCTTAGGGTGCATTTGATTCTGTCCACCTGCCCAATGTCGAAGAATGTTAGTAATGCTAAATATTCATTCCCTTCCATTTATATTGGAAGTGGTGCAACCCAGTTAATCTGTAAGTGGAAACAAATGGATGTAACTCCACTTTGCTGGGGAGGAGTTAGGTCTATAAGGGGTGATGGGTGGAGCTGACGACAGGTGGGATGTTCTGGGAAAAACACCCGTTTACTGCCAGATGATGGGGAAGGCTGGTTGGGGTGCATGAAGGGTTGCTTGCCACGACCTCATTTTCTGGTCTTAAATCCTGGGAAATGATGCTAACTCCCTTAAAAACATGATTTCCTGAATGAAGGTTTGTTTTCTCTCAAAAGAGAAGGGAATACTTTTCCAACCAATTGTGATCTGGGAAGATTCTGTGGCTTTACCAGATCAACCTTCCTAGATGGTAGATGCAACGGAAGTCTTTGCCAGAGTGGCTCCTGAAGTGCCTTTGATACAATAACCATCTGCTTGAGGGAGCCTCCTACTCATGGGTGTGAAGTTTTTTAACAGGGCGTTCAGTTCTGGTGAGTGTTTGAATTAATAACTGGGGATGTCTAATTCTGAAATCCTGTGTGTTTGGGTTGTTATAGATACTGCAACATCCATCCATCCATCCATCCATCCATCCATCCATCCATCCATCCATCCATCCATCCAGATTTCTCCATATAGGCTATCATTTGATCGTTCACGCTCTCCATAGTTCTCCTGTGGTGCGAGCACAGGGCGACTGTTGTGCGCCTTTAGCGAGCATGCGCGTTTCCTGTCGCTTGCACGGTGGATCGTGCCGCCTGCGCTGTGCGGAGATGCAGAGGAAACCGTATGTGATGGGGAAACGCAGCTCGACGTAACACCGGTATCTCCATCTGGTAAACGCATCCTCACTCTCCATCTCTCTGTGTGTGCTGTACGTTAACACCCACCAGCAGAAACACCCACCTACCCAACTGACAGACGGAATCTCAACTATACATCAGCCAATCTCATCCTCCCCTCTCTCATGACAAGGCGCGCACGAGTCCTATCATGAAAAAAGGTTCATTGAGCGACCTGAGTAACGCGCAGTAACGGGGTGTCTGCAATGGTAACTGCGTTATAGTTACAGTCAAAGTTATTAGTTAGATTACTCGTTACTAAAACAAGGTAACGGCGTTAGTAACGCCGTTAACAAGGACTGTAGATGTGGTTGTGTGTACAGTGTTTCATAATGACACTAGATTTGGCAGTATGTGTGTTTTGAAATAAGCACTAGAGGGGAGTCAAAAAGTTGTTCATCATAGTGACAAAAGTATAAAGTTGCTGGAAAATCTATCCTGTATACATTCTTCACATGAGACAACTGTACAACATTGTTTATTAAATCAAGTTTTTCTCCCCTCAATTTGTCAAAATAATGACAAATTTTATTGTCAATAATATTTTACGGATATAAGTAGTTTAAGGAAACAATTGCTCTTGTTGATATTTGTGTGGCCCTTAAAAGGGCCTTTGTTGGGTTTGCGGCAGTGAGAGTTTACTTGGAGCTGGTGTACTTGGTGACAGCCTTGGTTCCCTCAGACACTGCGTGCTTGGCCAGCTCACCGGGCAGCAGGAGGCGCACAGCGGTCTGGATCTCCCTGGAGGTGATGGTGGAGCGCTTGTTGTAGTGAGCCAGGCAGGAAGCCGTTGGTTATGTACTGTAAGGTGGCGCCCTCTCTGGGCCGCAGGCTGCTGCGCTAAAAAGGGCTACTGCTGCCGGGAAGAGGAGGCTGCAGGCGGAGCAGAGCAGGAGAATCCAGGAGGTGTGAAGCGCCTGAACTCCTGCCGCAGGGAGCTGCCGTTACAGCTGACCCCCCAACCACCAGAGGAGCGAGGAACGCGGGAGCCGGAGCGAGGCCGCACCAGGTCCCGAAGCATCGCTGTGTCCTCTGCGGTTTTCTTCACCTTTTCCAGTGCAGACTTAAAGCGAGATCCAACCCAGGGCATCCAGGTTGAAGGGGCTCCCCAGCATCTCCCTTTTTAGATCCTCCGGGATGGAGGAGAACAGGTGGAGCCAGATGTTCCGCTAGATATTGATCTGCCAGGCAGAAATGCGGGCAGAACAGACAGCTGAGGCCGCGCACAGGTTGAGGATGGCGTCCGCGGAGCTGCAGAACTGGCTCTTCATCTCAGCACATCCAGCTCCTCCGCCATCTTGGAGAGATTGAAGGCCAGCAGAGCAATGTTGTTAGTGGCCGCAGCAAGCTGGAAGGCACACTGGTGGGACCGGTCGGAAACCCCCCGAGTCAGCTGATCATGTTTAGTGGGGGGGAACAGGTCGCTGTCCAGCAAGCCTGTTCTTTTTCGCCACAAACACTGAAGCGAGGCTGGCCTCCAGGGGCGGGAGAGGTGGAAAGCTCCCTTTGGTGAACCCTTCCAGCCAGGTTAAAGACCAGAGGTGGTCACCGGCGCCTTAAACTCGGCGGGCTCAGCTGCTGAACCTGACAGATATGCCATGACAGCAGGGTACTGAGGCCAGATCGGGTCCGGGGGACAAACATGAGCCGAACCGTCCCGCCAGATCGTCTGATCGTGGCGGGGATCGCGGTAACGGCACAGCCAAGACTTTAGGCAGCCCTCTGGATGATCGATGGCAGTTCCAGCAAAAGGAACATTCCCACAGCATGATGCTGCCACCATCCTGTTCCATAGTGCAATGATTCATTCAGGGGGATGTGTGCTGTTAGTTTTCCTCGCCATATCATATCTAACCTGTAGGCCAACACACATCAGTCTTCCTGTTACTGATTGGTCGTTACCTGGAATCTCAGCTTTGATAACTGCCAAATTTTTAAATATCAATATTTTCATGATGGAACAGCTGGTCGCCATGACGATGGTTCCGTAAACATAAAACATTTTGTGGTTTCACTGCAACAACTTCATTGTTCCTGAGTAAATATTGCTCCTAGATCGACGGGACATTGGTAATGTTGAAGGATAATTTCTTTTTATTTAACTTTTTATTTTAAAATAACAGTTCCATCTGTTCATTTCTATCAGTTCACTTTTCTGTGTGTGTCAGCCAAAATGGAGATTGTTACGCTGTCATATGGTGGCCAGTGAGACTCCAGTCTCACCTTATATGGTGTTAGAGCCATATAGAAATTATGTTTATCTCTACGTTATATCTGATTAAAATGTAGTTATTGAAATATACTGTTTATTTTATTAAGCATTTGGTTAAATTTGGTGATTATGTTACCGTATTTTCACGACTATAAGGCGCATATAAACGTCTTTTTTTTCCTCAAAATGTGCGGTGCGCCCTATGTGTGTTGTTACTGCGGACGTTGTTGAGACCACCATGAGAACGTTAAAGGGGGAAGTGTGGCTGTGGATTGTGTATAAAAGAACAGGTATGTGCTTTATGCAGAACATTGTTGTCATAACAACCCTGAAAATGGCAATGAGACACGCCTATGAGTGCAATTTTTCCATCCGGACCAGGACTACAGTAGCTCAGCAACGTCCGGCGGATTATAATGAAAAGCTGGCGAGCTTCCACTCCTTCTGCAGCAAAACATCACCGACAAACCTATCCAGCCAAGCCACATCACCAACATGGACGAGGTGCCGCTCACTTTCGACATCCCGGTGAATCACACGCTGGAGAAGAAGGGGATCAGCACTGTAGCGATACACACAATGGGGTATGAAAAGGCGTTGTTTACTGTTATGCTTGGCTGCCACGCAAATGGACAGAAACTGCCGCCTATGGTGATTTTTAAAAGAAAGACTTTGCCTGAAGAGACTTTTCCAGCTGGACTCGTTATTAAGGCAATTGAAAAGGGCAGGATGGATGAGGAGATGAAGAAAGAGTGGCTGAGGCAGGTGTTTGTAAGGAGACCAGGTGGTTTTTTCCACACATCACCATCGCTGTTAATCTGTGACTCCATGCGTGCCCATCTCACAGCCGATGTGAGAAAAAAGGTGAAAGAAATGAACGCTGTGTTCGCTGTTATTCCGGGAGGTCTGACAAAGGACCTTGAACCAGCTGTTTAAAGTAAGGCTGCAAGCGGCGTGGGAGCGATGGATGACCAACGGAGACCACAGTTTCACGAAAAGTGGAAGGCAGCGCCGGGCAAGTTACGCCACCGTTTGCGGATGGATTGCAGATGCTTGGACTAACGTGTCTGCTGGCACTGTTGTTCGAGCTTTCGCAAAAGCCTGCATCATTTCCGAGGAGCCACCCGGCACAGAAAGTGACTCTGACAGCGAAGAAGGGGAAATTGGCATGTCTGATTTAGCGCAACTGTTTAATTCTGAAACAGAGGATGATGACTTTGATGGGTTTGATTAATACTATGTAATAAATACATGAATAAAGCACAATCATACTCAGTTTTGCTCCCGCTCTATTTTTAAATACGCAGTAGAGGTATTTAAACGTAGTAGAGGACATGTACCTGTATATAAAAAACGCGCCCTATAGTCCGGTGCGCCATATGTGTGTGTTAAATACAGTAATGGCACGCATAACTGAGACTGCGCCTTTTAGTACGGTGTGCCTTGGTCGTGAAAATACGGTATATCACTTAATTAGGCTCCTTTTAATGTCCTGTGTTTAGTTAAGGTCATGTGCAGTTTTGCTTTAGGGGTGCACATGGCAGTGCTTAAGAAGTTTTAATGGAGCAGGACGAAGAGCAACAGTTTTCTGACCGTGAAGGTTATTTGTAGAGATGTCTAATAATATCGACCGGCCGATATTAGCATAATTATTAGCATAATTATGTGATATCTGTCCATATCCTTATCGGGTTTCGTCCGATAATTTAAAACCGATATTATAATGCCTAGATTTTGCGAAATATGTTGAAGTGAGCACTCTTGCCAACACGCTATGCTCCCTGATGACGTCATTAAACCGCGCCAGACGGTGTGTGTGTAGCACCAGCGAAGCTAAACTGTTTGTAAAGAAAATGTCTGCAGTGTGGAACTTTTTTAAAGTTTCAAATGATGACTTGAAGTTTGCAATTTGCAACGAATGTGGGTCCTTGTCATGCGTGGGGGAACCAAGACTTTGTCCTTCAACAGTGATCCTACACTGGACTTCATTTGTGTTTACATTAAATTCTGTGCAATACAGCTGTACTGGTGAGGTACACTTTATTTCCTATTTGTGAAGAAAAGAGATTTATCTCTTAGTTTAAATATCCATTGTCAGGTTAATCTCAGGAAAAGCATATTTATTGGGCCAAAATGGTAGCTTTAATATTTGCAAATGTGTGTGGAGAGTTGTGTGTCTGTATCTCGATTTGTGTGTGTGCAGTGGGATTTGAAAATGTGTAAATAAATCTGTAAATGTGTGAGGAGATTTGTGTGTCTGTACAACAATCTGCAAATGTGTAAAACTACTTGTGTGTAATCCATTTTGCAAATGTGTAAAAAATCCACAAATCTGTATTCAGATCTGCAAATGTGTACTGAGACTTGCAAATGTGTAGATCAATCTGTAAGCACACACAGAGACACTTGTGTCTGAAGTATTTTCGCTTCAAGACCCAGAAATACAGACAAATCATTGGTTACAAGTCAAGCGGTTTTTCGGTTGGCTCTCTTTACACACGTGATTTTTGCTACTCTTCTGCCGCGTGAGATGCACAAATGCGTAGAAGGATTTGTATGTGTATTTTCGCGATTTGTAACCCCTTGCGCAGGCTCGCAGGCTCACATGCTGCCCTGACCGCAGGCTCGCAGGCTCACAGACAGCCTCTACCTTTTTTTTTCCTCCGCTGCGGGAGTTGACGTGACAAGGATGATATATTGATACCATTCAGTAAGGAAAAAATTTAATCTATTATTAAACAAAAGGTTACGGAAAGATGGCAGAAGCTGTGGGAAGAGCATATAACTGGAAGTTGGCTTTATAGTATTCAAAGGAAAATTGGTGAAATGAGGAGAACGGAAAGGAATAAAAAAGAGGTTATATCTAGATTAAGTTTCGGAAATACGGGGTTAAATGGAAACTTATTTAGAATGGGTACAGGAGGTTGTGGTTTTTGTTATCAAGGGGAGACGGTGGAGCATGTTTTGTTGTTTTGTTATAAATATTCTATGGAGAGAAGGGTTACAAGAAAATAAATTACAGTTAAATATACAAGATATTTTGGGGGGGGGAATCTACTTATGAATATTTTTGTAATTTGATAAACAATCCTGAAAAAACGAAATTGGTAGAAAGGATATAAGTTTATTTATGTAAATATTGTTAATATTTATTTTTATTTTTCAGTGGGAAAATACATAGCATCCCGATCCACACTCCACTGAAGTAGATGGTGGTAATGCACATCATAAAGTTGCTGGCCAACCGCCATAAAACAGAAGCAGAAGAAACAGTTTTACTAACGCAAACTATATAAAAATTTAAGAAATATACTTACAGAAAGCTGACGGGATTCCATTGCTCTCAACTTAGCAGGTACAACCCCTAGGACCCCAGTAACGTCACGTACTGTACAATACCGCCAACCGGTGGTATGTGGCTGTATGTGAAGCAAGTTGTGCTGAACTGCCGCAGCAGAGAGGCTGTCTGTGAGCCTGTGGTCAGGGCAGCATGTGAGCCTGCGAGCCTGCGCAAGGGGTTACAAATCGCGAAAATACACATACAAATCCTTCTACGCATTTGTGCATCTCACGCGGCAGAAGAGTAGCAAAAATCACGTGTGTAAAGAGAGCCAACCGAAAAACCGCTTGACTTGTAACCAATGATTTGTCTGTATTTTTGGGTCTTGAAGCGAAAATACTTCAGACGCAAGTGTCTCTGTGTGTGCTTACAGATTGATCTACACATTTGCAAGTCTCAGTACACATTTGCAGATCTGAATACAGATTTGTGGATTTTTTACACATTTGCAAGTCTCAGTACACATTTGCAGATCTGAATACAGATTTGTGGATTTTTTACACATTTGCAAGTCTCAGTACACATTTGCAGATCTGAA